CTTATTCCGTTCTTCCTGGACTTGCGTCTCACCGGCGACATGTTCTCTCATAGAACCGTTCCCTTTTTCTTATTTGCCTACAGTCTATGCTCATCTACCATCAAAAGTGGCACTGCCCCCTAGAGGGTCAATTTGTTACTACATACTCTGTCTAGAAGCCGATATTTACGGACAAGCTTTAGCAGATCGTCCCCCAGCCACTCTTGTTGAAAAACATAAAAGACGTCTATAGACGTCTTTGGCAGCCAATGAGTTAAGTACAGTGCATATAATAGGAGTTGTGTGTATGTAATTTGATTTTTAAGTCATTTGAATTTTGAAGGAGCTGGTGGTGATGGAGGAGAACAGGGAACAACTGCACACCCCCAGAAAATAAAGAAATAACAGAGCTCCGGGATCATGTGTCCGAACCCGGTGAGCCCTAAGAACAATCCCTGCCCTGTGTGAGAGGACCAGGAGAGGTTTGCCGGCCTCATAATGAACATTACGGGCTGTGGTTTCCCACCACAGCACACTGGAGATCACAGAAAAAAATCAGAAAATGCCTCCAAAAAAACGAACATGCATGTCTGTGTCTATGTTTAGTATAATTACGATCCTTTAGGAGCCCTGCTGGGCTTTATGGCTCTTTAGATTTTTTTTTTTTGGGAAGGGCATGGACTTTAAACTTGGCCGTTGCGACCTCATCTCTCATTTCTGTCCAGCTTTGTTTTTTTCCCAAAGGGAAGAACACCTGCAACCTGTGATCCTCAGTCAACATTTAACAGTTTTAATAAAGCCGAGTAACATCAGTGATGCGTCCAGTTTTAACCCTTTAAAGCCCGATCCAAGAATAAAACAAAACAGAAAATTACTTATTTTTGTTTGAATTCCTTATTTGGCCTTTTAACAAAAGATGTAAAAAGAAAAAACAGAAATACATTTTTAATATTAATGATTTATTACTATGCGATAAGTCCAGATTATTTTTGTGTAGTCTTCTGCCCCCTGTTATCAGGTGTATCTGATTGTGTACAATAGGATTTTGAGCAAAGTTTTTACCATTAAATTATGCAAAAGGAGTCAGACGCAAAACATTTCAGAAACCGTATTAATCAAATATGACACATTTGGCATTACAGGGTTAACCTTGTGGCTTTTTCCCTGAAACTGAATTCCATTGCTCTGACATTTACTGGTCCTCTCACTCAGAGAATAGACTGTAAAACAGCTCTGCTTGTTAGATGAACCAGCTTGGACTCTGAGAACCAGGTTCTGGTCTCCTGATGGGGCCCAGAGTCAGAACTAAACCAGGTTCTGGTCTCCTGATGGGGCCCAGAGTCAGAACTAAACCAGGTTGTGGTCTCCTGATGGGGCCCAGAGTCAGAACTAAACCAGGTTCTGGTCTCCTGATGGGGTCCAGAGTCAGAACTAAACCAGGTTCTGGTCTCCTGATGGGGCCC